CGCAGCGGTGGCCGCGGCGGCGGCAACGGCGGGGGCGGCGGCGGCGTCGAGGAGAGCAAGGGAGATGGAAGTGGAGGAGCAGGCGGCGGGGGTAGCGGCGGCAGCGGCGGGGGCACGAGGTTCCCTGGCCGGTGCTACCGGTGCGGTCACGTCGGGCACCAGATTGCTGACTGCACCGCCGAGGAGAATGACTTCATTCCGCGTTGCGGGAAATGCGCAGGGTGGGGTCACAAGGAGGACAAATGCGCTATGGAGGAGGCTGTCCTGGCTCAAGTCGTGAGCTACGTGAGCGACGACGACTCCGCCACTGACCAGGCATTCTGTGCCATGGCACAACCCCCCAGGCGAGTGTGGTATCGTTGATCTTGGTCTAGTGGGGGTTGAGGAACTTGGCCAGGATGTCATGCAGTACGTGGCTGACACAGCAGCCACGTGCTCCATGTTCCGATGTGCGAATGCCTTCGTGAACCACCGTGAGTGTAACGGTTGGGTGCGGGGGATTGGTGGTGACCAAGCCCCTGTTCCCCTCCCAGGATACGGAGACGTGGTCGTAGTCCTCAAGTCGGAAGGTGGTTGGGTGCCTTTACCCATTCCGAATGCAGCTCGTGTACCCGAAGCCCCCTACAACCTCCTTTCGCTTACCACGTTGGCCGAGGAAGGCCACAAGTACTCGGGGCAGAAAGGGGGGCTCACGTTGACCACGAAGGCCGGGGGGGAAGTGCTTTTCCCCCGGACGGGCAAGCTGCTCACTCAAGAAGGCTATCCAACACAGCCTACGGTAGACATCGCCTGTGCCGCAGTCATTGGTCCTGGCGATGCGAACGCAACCACCCCCACTGACACCAACGACTACCACAACTCCCACCTGCACGCCCACGAAAAACTGCTCAGAGACGCGGCGAAGCAGCAGGGAGTGCAGCTGACAGGAGGACCGCTGCTACTATGCCTCGGCTGTTTTTTCCAAGGGACAGGTAAAACCCGTCAGCACGAGCACATCCACGCGGGCAGTTAAGAAGCTGTGTCGCATATTCCTCGACCTAGGGGGAAAAATGAAGATCGCAAGCATCGAGGGCAGCCTATACACCCTAATAATCGTGTGCGATCACACGCGTTGGACGCGCGTATTCTTTCTGAAGCGAAAATCTGACGCAGCCGAGAATTTCATGCATTTCTTGGCAGACTACCGAGCAGCGGGGGTTCCGTGTGAAGTTAACGTCGCACGGACTGACGGTGGTGGCGAGTTTCAAGGGGCGTTCGCGGATGTTTGCCGCAAATACGGCATCAAGCAAGAGTTTACCCCTACTGACACGGCCAAGTATAACGCTGTAGCTGAGAGACCGTTGGGGGTGATCACTGATGCCGCGCTCGCCGCGCGTATCCAAGCTACGGCACTCTTCCCCGATGCGCCCAATACCCCCAAGTTATGGGCTGAAGCCATCCCTTGCGCGTGCCACCAAAGAAACTGCACCGCCACCATGGGCAACCCTGGCCACAAAACCCCCTACGAGATGTTTCACGGCACACCGCCGCCGGTCGGGTCAACGTACCCGTTCTTCAAACCAGCCGACTTCAAATCAAGAAGAGAGGCAAAGTCGCAACCCAAGGGGCAGAAAGGATGGTACCTTGGACCAGCCCACAACCACTCCGTGATTGCGTTCGCATGCTAACCGAAGTTGGAACAGTAATCGTCACCCGAAATTTCACCTGGCGCTACGTGCCCGCAGCTTCGCCCGGCCCCCTGCAGCTAGTGCCTCTCGCAGATGATGAGGAGGGGGGGGAGGGCGAGAGCAATGAGGGCGCATCACGTCAAGGTGGAGGGGAGGAAGAAGACTCGAGGTGTGAGTCCGACCTCGACGTAGACGACGCTCGTGGGCTGGGGCAAGCAACTCCTCTCGTGCGCATGGGGACACCTGCGGAACCCGGAAATGGGATGCAGGGGGACGAAGGCGGAGGTCCCCCGTCGCCCTCTTCGGGAGGGGATGACTTCGGCGGTGGCGATGACCCCGCCGATAACAGCAGCAACAGCAACGACAGTAGTGGCCCCAGCGACGTCTCTTAACAACCACGACGGAGGCAGCAGCGAGCCACTCAGTGGCGACTATGGTGATGAGAGCAGCGGCGGGAGCGAGCCCGTCAGCAGCACATCTTACCACGACGGCAGCAACGACGACGGTGACGGCAGCGAGGCCGTCGACCCCGGCAGCGATGACGATGGCGGCAGCGAGACAGGCGACCCCGGTGAGAACGATGGTGACGGCAATGAAGGCGGCGACCCTGAGACGCTCGAGGAGTTGAAGTACGACCCCGCCGACAGCCGCTACCCGTCAGGAACGGAAGGGAAGAAACTTCTTTGGGGAGCGTCGAGCGCCGGCCAGCTGCGCCATGTGCTCCAGCCCGGCCGCACCCGGAAGCAGACCCGGGAGTTGCGGAGCTCCGAGGAAGAGCCGAGCGAGGCGCCAGCCCCCGAGGAGGCGCTGTTATCAACCGTCCTGGAGACCGAGAACGGTCCGAAGATCGTTGCGGAATATATCCGCGAATCGCTGTTAGAGGAGCGCATGCAAGACGAGCAAGCGCACCGAGGGGCGGAAGGCAGGCCGAAACGAGATGACGAGGTGGACAAGCCAGTGAGTGAGGCACTCGGGTGCCTGATGTGGGTGGTGCATACGAGGCCGGACATCGCTCTGCCGTTGAACAAGATCCAGAAGGTGGCTTACTCTCCCACCGACAGGATATGGCAGGCGCTTCTGAGGGTCATGTCTTACCCCAACGCCACCAAGGACCTGAGCCTCACCTATGTGCGGGGATCAGGGCTAGATCTAGGAGTGTGGGTCGATGCCAGCTACGCCGACGACGTTGTTGACAGGCGTTCGACAACGGGACTAGCCGTAACCGTTGGTGGTAACACGGTGAACGGAACCACAAAGACGCAGCGTGTGCCGGCGCAGTCATCCTCGGAGGCAGAGTATCTAGCAGCCGGGGAGGGAAAGAAGGAGGCGTTGCATGTGCGTGCGGTTCTGCCTTTAGTAGCGCCTGAGACGAGTGGGGCGAAGATCAAGGTCCTTGAAGACAACAAGGGAGCTCTTGCCCTGGTGCAGAACCCCTTCAGCTCGGCGACGAGCAAGCACATCGACGTGCGGTACCACTTTATCCGCGAGCTCTTCAAGTCGGGGAAGATCACCGCAGAGTATGTTCCGACGGAAGAGCAGCACGCCGACATGCTGACCAAGGTCCTTGGTAGGACCAAACTGGAGTACCACCGGAAGACCCTGATGAACCTCCCGAAGTAGTCCTGGCTTCTGTGTTACTGTGTTTTAGCACTGAGCATCTCGAATGTTCTGATTTCTGTGTTGCATCTAGCACTGGGCATCTATGGCCATGGTTTGTCATGCAGGAAGCATTGGTCGGCGCGTCACATGACCGGTTCAATTTGTCCTGCCATTTGGTCTTTGTCTTGGAAGTGCGGCCGTTGGAATCCTCCGTGATAGCGACGGTTTCAATATTTGGGGACGCGAGGGTTTTTGATCCGGATGGCCGGAATTTTCCCCCGTACCGTTGTTGATTTGAGTCTTTCAGGTAGATCTGGGGTATCCATGCCCCACTGATGATTCGCCACTTGCGTGACGAACCAGGGAGGGTGTTCGTGTGTTTGGATACGGACTGGTAGATCTGCCGACAACAACGGGAACATGCAGATAGGGGCATACGTATACCATGACGGTTACGATGCGGTGGAACCTATTATGCGGTGGAACCTCTCGAGCTCTCTCAAGCTTATCGGGACCTCACTCTTCCTCCGCTCCCCTTTCGCATGCTTAATACAAAAGATCAAATAAATCTCTCCCTTCCAAGTAAAGGACATACAAACGTACGAATATATATAACCAACCATTTGTGCACATATAAAGTATAGGAAGATATGATCCCTCGGGGGTAACTTGCCATCCGGAGAAGTGGCAAGTAAACACCGAGGAGATTCGTCTCTTCCGGAGTACATGACCGATTGCTGAGGGAAGAGACGGAGAGCCTCCGGCTCCCCTCTCTCGACCCTCTGGTCACTCTTTCTCTAGCTCTTTCCTCGTTGCATCTCACGAAAGGAAATAGCCACCCTTGGCAGTGGGAGAATACTGCAAGAGTACCGGCCTCTGTCTCTGAAAGGGACCAGTGTCCTCATTGGCGTCGACGAGAACACGGCTCCGCCATGATTTGTAGTGTGAAGGAAGTCAAGAAGGAACAAAAGCGCGATGCCCTCAAAGATGTGTTCGCCAGTCTTGCCCGCTGCAACTCGGAATTCACCTGCGCAACCCCGCAGCCTAGCCCCCGAGTTTGCATCTACTCCGCATAGCGAGGATAGTACACACAGGCCTAGCAACCCTGTAGCACCGTCCACGCCCCAGCTTGCAAACTTTTCTATGCCTGTAGGCACCCCCGCTTCAACGCATACATCTGGCCACACTCAAAAAATTACTTTCCGACAGAACGACCTTCCGAAAGAGATCGCTTTTTCAGGGAAGCCAGAGGAGCCAGATGTGGTTGAAATTCTAACTCGATACAGAGCACGTGTGAAATTAGCCTGTGTTACGACCGATGACCCACCCGAGTCTGTAGTGGACCAAAGAGCGATCCAATTTCTCCCCTTTGTACTTCAAGATCAAGCCTACGACACCCTAGTTGAACTGGTTAGTGACTCTCTCAAATGGCGGTCGGCGAGTTGTTTAACCGCACTTCGGAACACAGGACAAGTAGTCAGGCCAAGAGCACCCGCGGCTTGGGACGAATACTATCAGGCCCTTACCTTCCAATTCTCCGCGCCCAACCATTTCGCGGTCCTAGCCAGAGAAATAGCCACTATGCAGCAGAGAGAAAACAAAACAGTAGACGGCTTTGCGCTCAAAGTAACTCAGGCCCGCACGCGCCTCCTCACGGAGGCTTCTCGTTCAGGTTCCTCTCACCTCAGCTCTCACGCACATGCATGGGACGCTTTCATGACCGCAACGTTTGAGAACGGCCTTTTGCCTTACATAAGGGTGGAGTGTGTTAGAGAAGACCCCAATCACTCATTTCAGGAAGCACGCCTTCGCGCAAAGAATCATGAGGCCAACAATCTCAGAGGCGTCTCGTCACCCACCACCGATACCGTATCTGTCACGGTAGCATGAACCGACGCTAAATACTGAGATTCATTCCGTTTCACGATGGTTTGACGAGGGCTAGGGTAAATCCCAGGGTGTACCTGAATCATTGGCGGAGCCCCTCCAGAGCTCCGTCCTAACTCGTGTTTTGGGTGATCGCTCCCTGTTAACACGGCCAATCTCGGAAAAGGAACTTTGACCCACGCTGTGAGTCGGTGCATGCCAAGGTAGACGCCCCTCGCTAGCCCCACCTTGATTAGACTCACCTTGACAAGCCCTCCTTACTAGTCTCCCCTTGACTCAAATGGAAAGATACCATGAAACTGACCATGAAATGGATGAAACCAACCATGAAATGGACGAAACTAATTGAACCCTAGCCAGTGCTTGTTACGCTAACACATAAGTGAACTACCCTAAGCAATAGCGTTATAACCACTGTTACATGGTGGAGGACGTAGAGATAACTTTAGTTTTGTTTACACGCCGGGGCGTTGACTTTTGGCTCAGTGGCTGCTTGCTTCAACCGACGATCGCTTTTTGAGACGTTGGATTCGCTCACAATCGTGTAGATTTCAATCGCTTACCACCTCTGATACATAATTTCAAACGACCTAGTTTTTGATGAAATGTATCCCCCATAGGGGTATCTTTGACGCTGGTGAGTTTGAACTCTGTGCAGGGTATCCCTTCCCATGGGGGGGGGCTATGATCAGTCTCAACATAACACAGCGGACAAACGAATCTACAACCAAAGGCATGGAAAATCTTTTTTGACGCTCTATGGATGCCCTCTACTCTGGGTAAGCGGAGAGTCCGGGGTTGTGGTGGCTATGTCCTGCCACCGGAGGTTGAATATCTCCTTTGGTGCAATGTGGCGAGGAATGCCAAGCCCGACCGAGCGAACTCAGTCAAGGTAGGGTGGTGCGGAGAGTGGGCGAGCCTTCGTGGACTTCTTTTCCCATTTTCCTAAAGATACATCAACTCTTCGCAGCCGTTGGGGGTCAAAAGAGTTGGGGACCCTCGGAGAACAGTATTCTATTATCACTTATTCCCTCAGATCCTATGCTACTCTTTGTGTTCGTGTATCTGTGCTCCCTGAATCTCCATATCTTGACCTCCACATAGCCCCCCCTTTTCTTCGCCGAAAGCTCAGCTTGGTGAAGTTGGGTTTTGGCGCACATGCATGTTTGCATGTTTCTTGTAGTGGAGCAGGTATGGATGTATCATTGGATCCAGATACAGCTCTTCGAAAATATAATCTCTCCCTCACTATCCGAAGACAGCTGACAGTGCCGTGTGGAATGCACACGGGTTGAAAACAACACCGTACGGATTAAATCTCTCCAAGGCTCGTACAAGCTAACATGTATTGATGTCAATCAATGATGTGTCAAAGCTTATTCTTGTTCAGTATCAAGAATTTGTACTTTGTGCGGGTTCTGGTTCGCGTAACCATACCGCTGGGTGTAAGCAATCGTGTTGCTTGTTGAGTACGATAGACATACGGTGTTCGACAGTCTTAAGAATTTGTTCGTGGCTCATGATTAGTGTCATCGAGTTGCGACCCTCAATTCCACTTGAGACCGGTTAGCTTGACATTTCCTCGCCAGCATTTGACCCAACCAAATGCTGGGTAGCAACCTTATTGTTTGGATGCTATTCCTTTCACCGTTTAGATACTTCGGAAATGTATCTTTTGTTTGCCTTCGGACTTCGTTTACTTTTCCGCTGAGCACTTTTCTTATTCACGCATTTTGCTGGCTTGGGACACGACGTGTTTCGCCTTGCTTTGTGCTTTGCGCGTTTGTTTGTACTCGGATCCCTACCTTCGTCGCGTTTTCGTTTCGCTTTTTTCTGCGGAACCTCGGACGATTTATTGACGGGCGCGATGTCCAGATCATGTTTTGATCGGTATGCGGAAATCATTTCGTGGCATTGCGGCACTTCGTCGGCGCGATACATCAGATCTGATTCAGGACCGTATCCTTTCAGTCTTAGACGATATCGATAGTTGTGCGGACCTTTTCGGCCTTGACCGCTTCGATGCCCTACCACTTTCAATGCGACGTATCTTTACAATTTCGGTTGATTTTCGTCGTTTGCTGTCAGGGCAGGTAAGGGAATTTGTTTCCCAAGGAAATATTCCGCCAGTTTTCCAAACTGTGGTGCTGGTGGTTTTTCCATTTCATGGTACTGTTGTTTTAGATGGGCAACATGCACGGATATTTCTCGTGTTTCATCGACTCGCTTCACCCCATACACAACTGGCGACAGTTGTGAGCAGATGGTATATGGTCCTCGCCACGGTAAGAACAGCTTCGGATTTGGTCCATCTATATCCTGGTGTGGTCGGTATACGAGTACCCGTTGACCAGGTTTAAAGACAGGATACTGCGGTAACTTTTCGTTTTTCGCAGCTTGCTTCTCTGCACGTTCCGTGAGGTTTCTTCGCGCTAGTTCGAAAGCAATTTGTAGATATTTTCTCGTGTTTTTTGAGCAAAACTCTCGGTATCTGCAGTTGATCCTACATGTGGGATTCCGAGAATTGCATCTACCGGTAACCGTGCTTGGCGACCAAACATCAAGAAGTACGGTGTCTCATGCATGGTTTTATTAAACGACGTATTATACGCTAGTTGAACCATTGGCAGGAGATCCGCCCAGTTGTCACGATTCATGGAGCTATGCATTGCGAGCATGGAATGCATCGTTGAATGCACACGCTCAGAGACCGAATTACCTTGCGGACGATACGGCGTCGTGCGTGTTTTCTTGTAGCCCAAGATTGTTTGCAACTGATAGATTATCTTGTTTTCGAATTCAGTGCCTTGATCAGAGTACAGCATTTCTGGCGGGCCAAAGATATTGATAATCCGATCAATGATGACACGTGCTACCGTTCCAGCAGTTTTGTTTGGAACTGGTGTGAGTATTGCATAACGCGTCAGGTGGTCCATCATGGAAAGCACGTACGTACTTGCATCTCACTCCGACTGCTGACATTGATTGAGAATGATTTGTACTCGACTAGGTCGACTGATACTCTTTCAAACGGCCGCTGTACAGGTACGTGACCCGTCGGCATTTTCGGACGGCGGTGAGGTGTCTTTCTCCGTTGACAGCCCTGGCATTCTAGGCACCAAGTCCGGATGTCACGGTTCATTGACTGCCGTCTTGTATGGAATAGTACGACATTGACGTTGCCGTTTCGTTGTCTGGTAGCGGTGCTTTGGCGTCTAAAATGTATTGGACATATTCGCCGTATTCTTCGGCTTGTTTCTCGCGCAATTTCTCATGCTTAACAGATTCAAATACTTCCGTGGCGCTGACGAAATTTGAATTGACTGTGAATAATTCCCTATCACTAAGGACTGGTTGCACATCATCCAATTTGTCAGTCGAGACTTGGTATGGTCTGTTTGGCATGTGTTGTTGCAGCTTTGGGTCGTCCGGTACATTTCGGCAAATCGGTGCAAGGTTCGGCGCAGTTCGTTCTTGTTCATTATCGAACACGAAAAGTCGCGATAACGTATCCGGCACTACATGCAACTTTCCCGGTTTGTGTTTTACCGTGAAATCGAAGGATTGCAGTGCTATTGCCCATCTAGTGAGCATATTTGACGTGTCTTGCATCGTATAAAGATATCGCAATGCCGCATGATCAGTTACGCACGTAAAATGTCTACCCCATAAATAAGGACGCCAGTGTTGAATTGCTAGAACAACAGCATAGCATTCTTTCATGGTGGCAGAGTAGTGTTGTTTTCTTTTGTTGAATCGCTGGCTAAAGTATGCCACGACATTCACTTCATCGCCATTCTGTTGTGCCAGGAATCTCCTGCTCCCACTTCAGATGCGTCTACTACGTGGATAACAACCTCTCTAGAAAAGTCTGGAAAATGCAAAACAGGAGCGTTGGTGGGTAATCGTTTCACTTCGGCGAATGCTTCATCATGTTTCGGACGCCAGCGTTTCGCTACCGACTTCACTGCGTCTTTCTTCGTAAGGTCGACCATTGGTGCGATGACGGCGGCTAAGTCTGGGATGAATTTCCTGACATAGTTGACCGTTCCTAGGACTGATCGCAAACTTTTGATGTTTGTTGGCGTTGGCAACTCTAGTATCGATTTTATCCGATCTTCACCTAAACGTATGCCATCTGCAGAAAGAATATGCCCCAAATACTTCACTTCCTTTGGCCCAAATTGTACCTTCGACGGTTTCAATGTAAGACCTGCGGCTTGTAGCGCTTGAAAGGTATTTTCCAAAAGAGAGATATGACCCTCCCATGTAGATGAACAACAAATGAGATCGTCCATGTACACGAGAAGACCAGATTTTGGACCAAAATGTGCGAAAGTCAATGCCATCGTACGTTGAAACAGAAAAGGCGCATTGGCGATGCCAAAGGGCAGTTGTTTAAAAACCCATTTTCCGTCCCTAGTAACGAATGCAGTCTTGTCTTGTTCTGCTTCGGCAATTGGTATTTGGTGGTATGCACTTTGTACATCGCAGACTGTGATGTATTTAGCACCTGCTACTGTGTCAATATGACTTGCCATCTCAGGCATTGGCCACGATTTTCGAATTAAATTCTTGTTTATCGTCGCTCTGTAATCTACACAGAATCGGGGGCTGCCGTCAGCTTTTGCTACCAACGTTACTGCTGACCCCCATGGGCTCGCTCTTTGCTCGATTATCCCAGCTTCTTCCATTTCACCAACACATTTGTCAATAACCTCTTGCATTCGTGGGTTTGCACGATATGAAGCTCTGTTGACTGGATTTGTTCCTGGTTGCAATAGAAAATCAGCCTCTCTCTGTGAGAGTACATTTGCCCAGTTCTTTAGGATTCAGGGAGAATACTGAACGGTATTTGGTACACAGATTAAGTATTTCTTCACACTGGTCGGGCAAAAAGGTTGTATCTCTGAAAGCTTTGGCTAATGCCTTCTTGAGATCTGTACGGTTTTTTTCCGTTTCTTCCGGGCTCGATTGAACGCTGCTCATTGTNATAAGTGTATTTCTTTTCAGGGATACCGGTCTGTGAGAAGGGTTGGCTAGTTGTACCATTGCACTTTTGTTGTCCTTATACCACTGACAGACTGTGCGTGCTACGATCACCCTACGGAATGCATCTGCATCTGGTGTATCCTGCTTCCCAACGTCATCGGACGTAAAGATGCGTGGTTCAACTACGGCAGCTGTGGTTTCATCTGGCGCTTGAAGCGAATGAATTTCGACAGCTATTTCATGTTGTGCAGGTATGCTTCATTTCCGTGTAGTGTATACAGGCACTGCAGGTGTGTCCCTCTCTACTGCTACCACAGAACAGTTCATACTGTTTTCCTGATCGGTCGTGGGATAGCGCGTTTTGTGGTGGACTGCTGGAATTTTGGCTGTTGTTTTAAACGACAATTCTTCCGCTTGCCAATCAAGAACACCACCAAATGCGCCCATTATGTTCGTGAGCCCTAGCCCTGTTAAGGGCCGGAGGACTTGGGGCTGCTGTTTAACTGTGTGTATTAGCTCGCATGAGAGAGGAGAGAGGGAGAAGGAGGAGAGGCCCCAATTCTCGAGAGAACACGGGGACTCCGCACTATCATCCAAAGCCTCTCAGCACATACCCTTCAAGTTTTCCCAGCTGCGTCCTACGTAACGGCTACTTTTCGACTATCTACTTCTACGCACGAACACCCTCCCTGGTTCTTTACGCCAGTGAAGAACCTCTAGTGCGTCGAAAATACGTCCGAAAAACCGAAACACAACGACAAACCAAAAGTAAAGGGGTAACCCGGCCACCGGATCAAAACCCCTCAGAAATTCAGCGCCTCACGCCGATCATATCACGAAAGATTCCAACGGCTCAAACGAAATCCAATAGCTGTCCATATCACCAATGATTCCAACGGCCGTACTGCAAGAAGACAAAGATAAAACCACTCCAGACGCTCGGATTACAAATTCTAGGCAACGCTCTACTACCTCGAGCAACGCCTCTGACAAATCCTTCCGACATGATGGAACGAACTCCTTGCTGTGCAGCACCAACTGATTCTTCAGGTGTCACACACATTCAGGCAACGCCCTCCCTGTCTATCTACATTCTACACGAAAACTGCATCGAACAGGTACGTTCTCCCTGCCTTCGGTTCAACCATCTGCAATCCTACACGAACTCAAAATCATGACCTGTTTCAAACTGAAAAACCAATCAAACTCGATTCTCCAAAGGATGCCCGCTTTTGAGAATTATACAACCTGCCGAATGTAGCCTGCTTCAAACAAGGTCCACCATCTGCAAACTACCAAATCAATCCTCAGTTCTCCTTCAATCAAGGATACATCAACTTGCTACTGAACCTTCAAGCACAACTGCGCAAAACACAAACGCCCCCCCGCAACTTGGTAACGCTGTACTACGAACCCCAAGCATCTACGCTGTCTGCATTATAGACAAGCACACCAGGAACCTAAGCCTAGTGCCCTCCCTTGCACAACACCGGCGCCCAGAGGAGCACGCACATGGCCATCACCTAGATGTCGCTTCCCAAAACAGACACAACCAACATGCTTCCGTACGTGAAAACAAATCGACTTCCACTAACAACTGCATACCTGCCCGACACACCAACCTGTCAAGTTGCATAATACCAAGACCGGGCGTACTCCCCAAGCGTAACATTCTCAAAAGAAACACGCCCGTTTCCACCCTCCCTTATTCTGCAACAACTCAGGTAAACAAAACACTTGTTGCGCCTCCTACTTAGGCCGTGGGTCACATATAACCGCGTAGCCCCCACACATGAGTGATGGTGGCAAATTCTACCAACGTGAACGTCTCTACCCCCCGACACTTTGCCATCATCACCAGCAACACAACGTCACCGGCGAAGGATGCACTAATGGCATAACGACGAACACAAACATTCAGAACAACCACGATTTGGGTGCAAGACAACGCGCAAATGACGGCGGAAAGAAACACGCAACAGTGAACAGAATTTCCTCGAATACAAATTGCTTAATTTCATCACGACCTCAAACTGGTACCTCCACACAAAACAAGACAACAAAATCCAAGCTTATTCCAACTACTCCACCAACACATCTTGATGGCGAAGCACGCCTTTAATTCCTCACGTCCATCCTGACGCATTCTTGTCTCCACCGCTCGTTCCCGGCTGATGAAATGCGCGCGGCACCTCCCCACGCGACTTTGATGACACCCACTTAGCTGTGCCCCGTTCCACCACCCACCTCCGGCTGATGGTTGCGCGCCACCTCCGCGCGACTTAATATGCTACTCCCCCCGCTCCTATGACGAGGCAGAACAGCCACGGCCCCTCCGTCCGTGCTGGGTTTGCGCGCCACCTCCGCGCGCCTTATAATGCTGCCCCCCCCGTTCCGACGACGAGGCAAAGCAGCCACGGCCCCTCCGTCCGTGCTGTGGTAAAAAAACGCCGCCCGCTCCCGCGTGATCGGCGCCCACCCCCCGACGCGCCGTCGCGCGTGTCAACCGTGGTAGGGCGTACCCGGCCTCTACTGCCGGCCTTGGATCGACTTAACAAAACACCGCCAGCATCAAGCATGTACGGCGCCCACCCCCCCCCGCGCCGTCGCGCGGTCGATCCATGGTTGAGTGTCTCCGGCAATCCTGCCCAACGGTCTCTCTACCGTCCTGGTGCTCCACCGCCTTACCGCAGATGGAATGCGCGCCAAAACTGCGCGACTTCACGGCCCCTCCGTCCGTTCTGTTGCGCCGATTACTCTAACGCCTTTCATGTTGATCCACCGCCTTACCGCAGATGGAGTGCGCGCCAAAACTGCGCGACTTCACGGCCCCTCCGTCCGTTCTGTTGCACCATCAATTCCGGCGACTTCTGTGCGCCCCGCCCGCTACTACAGCAAGGCAGAACAGTGGACACGACCCTTCCGCCGTGCCGCATTCTCCACCCGACCTCCCCTGAATGGATTGATCGGTTGCTGTGACACTCTCACCAGTGTCTCCAGCGGCAGCAGACTGCTGTACGCAAGCACTGCCGAACGTACTACGAAGAGAGTTGGTGTCTTGGAATGCACCAAACCCACCTGCAGCAGGGACCTCCACATCCCGCACCAGGGCGCCTTCCACGCCCGGCCTACTGCTGCTCTCTCCTCCAGCAGTGTCGCCCTCCCTGACGACCACCGCAGGATACAGCTCTCGGTGGCTGCTCGGCGGAACCCCCAATTCCGCCGCACCCGCGGCGCCCTCTTGCAGCGCCGCCGACCCCTCCTGGCCTTGCCCTTCCGACTCGGCCTGCAGTAGCGATGGCAGCATGCCCATCATCTCCTGCACCTCTGTCATTTCTACTCGTTCAGTTACTGCTTCGTTCCAGTCAGAAAGCGTCCAGTTCAGAGTTGCGTACCCTGGCTGCTGGAACCCCGCTGCCTCTCGCTTGGCATAGCCCGCACCGTCTTGCGGATCCTCCCGGGAGGACGAACGCTAGCGTGTTCGTGAGCCCTAGCCCTGTTAAGGGCCGGCGGACTTGGGGCTGCTGTTTAACTGTGTGTATTAGCTCGCATGAGAGAGGAGAGAGGGAGAAGGAGGAGAGGCCCCAATTCTCGAGAGAACACGGGGACTCCGCACTATCATCCAAAGCCTCTCAGCACATACCCTTCAAGTTGTCCCAGCTGCGTCCTACGTAACGGCTACTTTTCGACTATCTACTTCTACGCACGAACACATTATGCTATTGTCGAGTAGCATATTACCAGGTCCCAACGACGGCAGCACTAGAGCTTCAACAGGTAATGTGATTTCTCCTAGTGTCAGTTCAAATCGAGTGTACCCTGCAATTTTCAGGGGTGAACCATCGGCGCTGCGCAGATTGATTGCTCCCGGGGGCACTGGAAGTATTTTCGTGTTTTTCAACGTAGTATTGTGACTTCTCATGAACCTCCGTGAAATGCATGGTATGTCACACGCCGTGTCGATTGTTATTTATTTCGTCAACCGATTAATTGTTTGTTCTGGCGGGTACTCGTACTCGCTTGGATGTCGATCGCAATACCGATGGACACACGGGATATCCAGCGAGTGCGGACATGTAAAAAGCATGAAATTCTTCATTACGGTCAGTTCTCATTAGGTTAGACCTATGTTTCGACCTGAAGTCCCCAGCTACGGTAGCTACGTGCAAGGCTTGTGGCGCTAAACAGGCGGCTACTTGCCTTACTTGGGTGCTATCCCCTAGTGCTGGATCTACAGCGGCTACTGCATCAGTTGTGCGGGTACTTGACTTCGGGACTCCTCGCGTTTGCTTGCTGCTACAACCTTCGCGAGAATGTTCTTGTGGTGGTCTATATGTACTTCAACTGTCTTTCACAGCGCTGCTCTTTGACTGCTTTTCTTGTTGGTCCCACCAGAGATCGTACACCATTGTTACAGTGTTTTGAATCCCTCTCATCTACTCTGGCTCTCTTCTGCTTGCTCGTGTTTTGCAGTCTATCCCAGTTTGTACGTACTGGTTTGACAGAACCAAATGATTGG